AATATTATTTTGATACAGTATAGGTCATGATTTTCTGTAAACATGTAGTCTTAGCCTTGATGAATTGTTTACAGGTAAAGGAAAGTTTTGGACTTGGAAAAGAAGAGAGCACAAGTTGTAGGGATGGTTCGCCTGAAGCTTCAAAACATGAGAAAGCTGAGGCATCCTCACATTCAGATGGCACGTCTGAAGATGCCACAGGCAGCCATACATTGTTTACTAAATTGAAGTCAACAATCTCATCTGCTTCACCAGTGGTATCCGGCGCATTTGCAAAGTTGAAGGACACAAAAGTTTCAACTTTAGCTAAGCAGGGATATGAAATCGTCAAGGATGAATTAAGCTCTAGCTCTAGCAGAAAGAGAAAACATCAAGCTAGGCATGCTTCTGCTAAAGTAGAAAAGAGTACAAGAACTGATTTAGTTCTTACGCCAACAAAAAAGTCAGTATTGGGTGAAAAATGGGAAGCATTTAAGAATAAGGTATCTTTAAGGAGATTGTTCAACTCTGCTCCTATCTTTCTCATATTGATTTCCTATCTGAAATCCTTTTTCTTCTCTAAGGTCCGAGGTCACCCAGTATATAAAACAGTGGATGAATACACCAAGCCTGTTGTAACCAAGGGACAAGAGGTACCCTCACAATGCTGTACAGGTGTATTTGATGTATTTGGTCAAACCTGATTTTGTCTTGCAGTGATATCCATGTTGTGCATATGCAAATGCAGGTAGCTGAGGATGTCCGAGAAAGATGGGAGACAAGTGACAATCCAGTGGTTCAGAAAATTCAAGAGTATGATGTGCTCCATCATTCTTTGTTCTATCTGATTATGGAATTTGACGGATTAAATCTGAACTATGCTATTCTATTATTTTCTGTTAGCACTTAGCATATTACATTTTGATCTTGGAAGCACCAAGTATGCAGCTGCCAGGTGCATTCATGGCTGCAAATTCATTGGTGATTCCTCTTCATTAGTAACGCAAATTAAATAAATAAATGCAATAATCACATTCTTACATGTGCAAATCAATTGAATTTTTTCCTTTCTTTCATCATATTACAATATTTTTTATGAACGACACGACATTGATTTTCCTTTGTTCATTCCATGTAGTTTGAATGAATCTTTGCTTGAAGAAACCTCAGCTGCGGTGACATTCAGGGAAATTCGGCAACGAGACTTGTAAGGCGTGTGCAACTTTACTTTGGGAGACTCAGGAAGTAGTTGTTGAGCTATGTTTCACCATTTTTTGCACAGGTCCTTTTCTCTGTCTGATTTTGTTGCTGATGTTCAAGAAACGATCAAACCAGTTCTAACTGCGTATTCAAAGGTGACCCTTGTCTTAATAAGAAGAAACCCTTTCTTTGGTTGAACTAGTGTGATTGCTGACTGTCCTAATGAGATGGTCTGGTTGTATATTACTTCTTTGTATATTTTCTGGTGAAAGTTAAAAAAATTAGTGCGTTTATTTTGACACTACTAAGTTTCAGATAAGTTTATGGTAAAAATTATATGGCACCGTCGTTAGCTAAAATACCATGTTGCAATGTTTCAAAAATCATCACAAAACTCATGTATGTAGCACACCTAAAGTTAAGTGTAGCCACAACAATTCAGTTTGAAATTCATCTTTGATGTTGAGATTAAAAAAACATAAGTGTCACTGTCAGCACATGATGAACAGCGCCAGGTTGACTGCTTTTCTATTTTACTTCTTGACATCTAGGATGAATTTCAAACTGAATTGTTGTGGCTATACTTAACTTTATGTGTACTACATACATGTTTTTTGCGATGGTTTTTGAAACATTGCAACATGGTATTTTAGCTAATGAGGGCGCCAGCCCCCCTGGGTGCCAAATCTGCACTCTAAGTTTGTAATGTGAAGTTCAAAGCGATCAATTGAGATTGTGTCTAATCGTCATGAAACAGTCATAGCCCACTCATATACACACTTTTAGAACTTTTGGTCACCTCACAGTTACATATTTTGCTTTCAGGGTGATGTGAAGACTCTAAAAAAATATTGCACCAAGGAAGTGATTGAGCGCTGCAAAGGAGAGAGACAAGCTTATGCATCACAAGGCATATTTTTTTATCACAAAGTAGGCCATTGCTGAACATGCCTTGAATAGTTCCTTCCCCATGGCTTATTTGAATATAATATGCCCTCTTCTTAAACTCAGTCACACTAGATTGGCATATTCTGTAGCTTTTTTCTTCATTATTGACAGTAGCTTGTTTTTCTTAAGCTGGAAGAACCATATAAGATCCTGCTGGTCTTTTTGTTAAAAAAAAAAGACCAATAATTTTTCTTATATTCCATTTCCTTTACAGATCCTGCACATTTCAGAAGCTGATGTATTGGAAACAAAAATGTTTGGATCTTCACCCGTAATTATCTTGCGCGTAAGTGAATTAGTGGTATGCTGATTTTAAGTTCACCCGTATTAGTTTGTTCTACTTACAACAATGTATGCTTGTTTCCGATATATATTTCAGTTCCAAACGCAGCAGATATACTGTGTTCGAGATAGAGAAGGACAAGTCACAGAAGGAGGACAGGTAGGCTTTTATTTTTCAGGTTATATGTAAACCATCTTTCCTATGTTTTATGTTTGGCCTGCGTGGTTGACTCATTGCAAGGTAGCTCAATCATTTTCTTTGTGATTGGAATGTGGCAGGATACCATCCAAACCGTCTTCTACTCGTGGGCGATGCAACTGATGGACAGCGACGAGGTGGGAGAAGAAGAATCATATTATCCGGTATGGCGGCTGCGTGAGATGCAACAAGCTGGCATCAAAGCGCTCATATAGAGCAGTCCATCCTGTTTCTGTTTTCTTGCTCTCCCTTCACTGAATCGGCTATAGTTGTTATACTTCCTCTGCTGCTCGACGAGCTACATGGAGGAACGTTGACGTTGCCATCTCGGTGCAAGCAATTTTGCACAGTTTTTTTTTAATGAATTGATGGTAGCTCCTATTCCTTTCTCTGATGTATCTAACGCGTGTTACTCGCAGAGTTGTAACTCTTAGCTGTTATTCTCATGTCGGCTGGGAAAGGATTGTAAAACAAGCAGCATACTGGTAACTTCTTTTTGTACCGAAAATGGAAATAAAACACGCCGGTGGCCAAAAATCTGTGTTGCCCGGGGCGTTCTGAGCTGATGCAACTGTGCCGATGGCCTTTGTCCGAGCTGTTCTTGGGCTCGAATGCTGCCACGGCGGGCGCTGTGGTAATGGCCCGGCACCGTGGCCGGCCGAAAGGACGCGCCCCTGCACACCCAGCTCGCCACCACCTGTGCCTGTCGCCGCACGAGACGGCGGACGCCCGCTGCTGCGTGATGTAACTGCTCGCCGGGGCACGATGCGCGGGTACCGTGTGACGGCACAACAGTGAAGCTTAGTCGAGCCGAAAGAGAGAGAGATTAGATATACATATAGATATAGGGTCGAGCCACCATCCATTGTTGGTTCGTCCCATTGGCCATTGTTGGTGTTGTGTCAATTCTGAAATCTACCCCCCTTCTACCTGGCTATGATGTAGTCCAGTGTCCATGCCACTCACTTGCCGAAGAAGACCACAGAGTTCATCACAATGCAACTTGCGTTATTAGTCAGCACTCAGAGCAGACAACGTCAATTTCGACAGCCCCACGGTTTGTTGCTGGAATGATTGCATGCTCTCCCTCCACAGTCCACACCACACCTGACTACCTGAGCGATGCTGCAATGCAATCGCTCTCGATCGCGACAGCAGACCACTCCCTGATGGCTAAACCAGCGGCGGCGGCGTTTAGGTGGCAACCGAAAGCCATGCCGGAAAAGGCTCTAGTGGGCAGGCCACGAGAGGAATTGCATTTCCTGCCCGCAGTAGCCATGTTCGGACGTTCCAGTTCCGCGACGGGATCGGTGTGCAGCGACAGCGACGCCGAGTCGCCGACGCGATTCCGCCGGCGTTGGGGCCGCTTGCGCTCGGCTGTCGAGCTGTCGTCCGATCCAAGATGATATAGGAGGCCAGCGCAGGCAGAGAGGCAGCCGCCAGTCGCAGCCGGGCATCGGGACAGGAGGGAGGAGGGGCGGGGCGTATGGACGTCAGGACGTGCCGGTTTTATTGCGACGCAGGAAGCTGGGTGAACACGTCTAGCCTTGTGGTTGTGGAACCGGAACGAAACGAATACGGCAGCTCCTGGCAAACGAACACGTCCTGCACTCTCTTGATCTCTTCTCTTGCAACAAATATCTACTCCTACATCGACTCCACAGACTGTACAGGGTACAGCGTACAGTGTCACAGCCCTTTTTGAGGTTTGTCTTGTTGCCCCCGTTTTTCTTCGCGAGACCTTTTTCTGTTCCTGCAAGCTGCAGCTGTCTTTCTGGTGTTTTAGCTTTCTGCTGCTCACAGCTCTGGCCCTGTGCCCTGTCCATCTGCTTGCTTTTCCTAAAGCCCCATACATGGACAGCAGAGAGCGCTTGCACACAACTACTACTAGCAGGGTTGGCAACACGGCACAGGGTCACAAGCATACTTTCACGCAGGACATGGACACTGTTTAGCTTTCCAAAGGCTCTCGGCTCTCCGTTTCAACGAGACACTGAGTTCCCCTTTCCTCTCTCATCGTTGATCTGATCTTGTCCTCATCACAACAACACAATACTGCTGTGAGGAAAACAGAGAGGCTCAGTCTTTCCATTGCCATGCATGGTCCTTTTCCAAAGCTCTGTCCTCCTGTCACGGTCCAAGGCTTAGCTCGTTTATAAAAAATAAAAATAAAAACTGCCCGAGGCCAAAGCTTTTTTTTTTTTTGACAACAAGGCCAAGGCTTTGTTGCTGGCTTGACCGCTTGAGTATAAATGGCAAGCTAGCTTGGCCTTTTCTTCCTCAAGCAAGCATCTCTGCGCTCTGTGTAGCTCTTGAGAGCTGCTTGCCGGTGGTGGTGTTGGGTTCCTTGTAGTGTGAGTGAGTGAGTCGTCCATCGTCCTTGCGAGCTGCCATGGGGGGCACCTTGGAGTACCTGTCGGGGCTGCTGGGAGGGACTGGAAACCATGGCCACGACCACGGGAGCAAGAAGAAGAGGAAGCAGCTGCAGACGGTGGAGCTCAAGGTCAGGATGGACTGTGAGGGGTGCGAGCTCAAGGTCAGGAGCACCCTCTCCTCCATGAAAGGTTCCCTCTCTGTTTCTCTCTATTAATGGATTTGATACATTTTTTCGCATAGGGTCTGTTGAAATCCTGTCTGCTTGCTTTGATTAGTTTCATTCTCATGTGACGTTAGTCCACTGGAATGTAAAGAAAACTATGAGCCAGAAAACATCTCAAACTTGTTTCTAGCCCGTTGCTATAGCACTGGAACAGCACTAGTAGATCAGTGTATACCGTTCAACTGCCCAATGAACCAACAAAAAAAGCTCTAAAACGTATGGGTATGATACCTGGCTCTGCATTCGTAAATCTGTAGTTTTTCATCCAAGAGTTGCGTCAATTTCTAAGCCGAAAATAGTTAAAATTCAGCTAGCAGGGTGTTTCGCCTGCAAACTGCAGCTTTGTCTTTTTTTTTGTTAAGTAAAAAGGAATTTAAACACAATAGTAGGAGCTGAAACACACAGCCCCTGGGCTGCAACTTCGTCACCTCACAGGATTTTTACAGTAGAAATACAAGCAGAACATTACCATCCCTTTTGAGCAGAGCAGAGAACTTTGCAACAAAAGCCGTGACTTCGGCGTTCTGAAACTGAAACATTGTAACCTCACTCAAACACCTCCAGAGTCCAGACGACACGTTTATCTAAAACAACTAAAACGTATAGAAGGAAGAAACGCACGCCGGCATTCACATTTGATAATGAGCACCCATCAATCCATCGTGCATCGTTTACACAGTACTTAGCTGCTAACTATGACTATCTTTCAGGGGTCGAGTCGGTGGAGAGATAAACAGGAAGCAGCAGAAGGTGACGGTGGTCGGGTACGTGGAGGCGAGCAAGGTGCTGAAGAAGGCGGAGCTGTGGCCGTACGTTCCCTACAACCTGGTGGCGCAGCCCTACGTGGCCGGCACCTACGACAAGCGCGCCCCGCCCGGGTACGTCCGGAGCGCGGAGCCTGCAGCAGGGTACGTGGCCGGCGGCAGCCAACTGCAGGCCGGCGGCGGCAGGCCGCCGGGCGACCACCTCACCGACATGTTCAACGACGAGAACCCCAACTCCTGCTCTGTCATGTGATGTGAGGATCGGAGAGACCGAGAGAAAAGTGACTAAATATTTGTGGTTTGTCCCCTGTGGTGTGGGTGGGACAATGGTTGTGTGATGACATTTGTAAGTTCCTGCTCAGTTAGACGTTTGCACCGATCTAGGCGTTTAGCTAGCTACCATGTCGTTGCTTGTATTGTATCTCCCTGCCCTGCTTTATAGTTCAATCCTATGTACTGGCCTGGCCGGTAGGAGAATTTGCCGCTGAAAGCCGTGGGAATTGGAAACGTACTCCTATCTCATGTGATGTACAACTAGTGTCACTGACATGTGGAGGTTGCCAGCGCCACCTCAAGCTCGATGGGAGATCTTCAGAGATTGTATGTCCAGGTCTGGGAGCCAGCGACGTACTTTCTCCGTTCAAAAAGCCTTGGAAATTCTTGTCTTGATGAATGAATCCTGATCAGTCAATCAACAGATGAACGGCTAGTCGTGTCCTTGGATGATGGGCCGCACCTTTCACAAACGTTTTTTTTCCCCCTCGGCATCAAGGCCCTCATCACGTCGAACCTGATGACAACCCACGAGTATCACGAACGCGATGGCTTTTGCCGTAGCGGCCCAAGGCGCGACTTACCCCGGTTGCCCGAGGAAACTCCGATTCTCGTCGCTAAGCGCGGGCGATCGCGCTCCCGGGCCGGGCCTCCCGGCGACCCGGCCCAGTCGGTCGCGATGGCGGACGTCCACGACGGCTCCCCGCAGCGGCGCAGCCCCCCCCGACGGCGTCGATACCAGCGTGCGTGGTCTGTGGTCTCTTCCTAGCGGACTAAGCACAAGTCTCTAGCTAGGCAGCTTCTCAACCAAATCCTCAGCTCTCCTGCAATTCTTCAATTCTTCACCAGGTAAGGCGAGGCAAGGTTCGATAATAAAGGATCCAAACATACTCTCAAGTCCTTTGCCAGGAGAAATCTCATACTTGACATCCTTTGCGACGCTCATCCTCCAAAAAGCATCACATATTTGTCAACTGGTCTCCGCAATTTCTTCTAAAATTGACGACCTTCATTTTTTACACCCTCCAGAAAAAAACATAAAAAAAACAGCAGTGTCGTCGATGCGGCGCAAGAATGATCTGGTCCCACTGTTGCGGACTTGCGGACTTGCGGTGGTGTTGCATCATACAAAAGGTCACACAGAATTGGACTTGGACCTTTTTTGTTGGAGTCTGCTTCAACCATGCCCTGCCTCCGAGATGTCATCGGGGATCGCACTAGCGAGCAACTCCAATTCTTCACAAACAATTGTCGGGTCCGTATGCACGGTTGCACCACTCATACGTTTAGGAGTGTGAGGTGCGTCGTGCGTGCCTCCAACAAGTCCTCCTTTTGGGCTCTGTTGCTCCCTCCCCAAAGCAACGCCGTCAAAGAGCTTGTCTGGCCACCAAGACTGTTACTTGTCCTATACCGTTATTCCGGTCACACTTTCGTGCAGGACCCTATCTATATCTCTCCTTCATTAATTCTTAGCCTTGTAAAATATATATGACGTTTTTAACTTATAGATATGTTGTTTGACTGTTCGACTTATTCAAAAAATGTAATACAAATATTGTTTATTTTGTTATGACTTATTTTATCATTAGAGCCACATTAATAATGACTTATTTATTTTATTATCCACAAAGAAAACTAAATAAGACAAATGGTCAAACATGATATCTGAAAGTCAAAACAGAAATGCTGGGGTTAGAGTGTCCGATCGTCTGGACGCTCCACCCATCCTCTTTTGCGCCACCGCTATCGCGCCCACCCGCCTCTGCACCACCGCCACCCGTGCCGCCCCATCCCGCCCTCTGTGTGTCGCCACCCAGCTCTGCGTTCTCAGCGAACTCCACGCCACCGATGAGCACACCGATGACCTCCATGTAACACCCTCGGTGTTACACCCTAAATCATTTACAAAAACATATCATGAGCATCATGTTTATGTATTAATGCATGTGATAGAATGTGTAGATAAATTTCTTATAACTTAAAATGATCAATAAAAATGCTAAATGAAAGTTGATTCAATAGCTCATGTATATCAAGTAGGGTTAAAAACTAATTTTTATTAAGCAAAAATACTATAGAATATGTGTGTGATAAATAAAGTTTGAAGTACAAACTTTGTAGATGACAGTGAAATACTTGCTATCGAAAAATGATATTACTAGCTTAGAAATCGTAAGTTGAAATCAAATTCAGCTTAAAACTTAGAAAAAATCCAAGTTGTCAACAACTGGACATTGTTATGTTTAGCAAATTATTTTGAGAGATTGGGCTAAAGGGTGGTGTAGTGTTATAGCTCGATTTATAGTCTCATATGCCATCTTGAGCATGGTGAAGATGGTTTAGTTCCTGGAGCAACCGTTTAGTCGTTTGGGGCGCTTTAAAATTCGTGCGCGTCACATGTCTCGGGATGGTTGGCGTCGTGCGCGTGGTCACCGCGCGGCCACCCCGTGCCGCCACGCTGGGTCGGTCGGGCCGCCTGGGCTTGGCTGAGGCCGACCGCAGCGAGGCGCTGGCCTCGTGCCTTGATGCCCTGCCTCGTGCTACCGCCATTGGTGCCGCCATGGCCGCGCTGCCCTGCTATCGCATCGCCGCACTGCCGACCAGACTCGCGTCGTGATGCTGCCGCTGCTGTCACATCGTCGTCGCATCCGCGCTTGTCCGTTGTAACCCTGCGCCGCTGCCTGCCTAGTTCGAGGCCGCCACTGCCACACGCACGTGGCCGAGCCACCGTCACCTTGTTATTTAAGACACTGCAGCCGCGCGGGCCACGTCGGTCGGAGGCGCGCATGCCTTGTCCATTGCTCCTGCGCGTGGGTGTCCTGATCGCGCCGACCATGTCCTGCCAAGGTGAGGACGAGCGAGCCCACCTGCCGTGCCCCGTCTTTTCCCTCTCTGCTGTCGCCGTCGAGCCGCGCAATTAAATTCATCAGGGAGAGATCACCTCAAGTCGATTCGTCGTGTTGTTGGCTCTGTCACACAGCTGCCTAGCTACCCGTCCCCACCCCGCCTTGAATGACGCCCGGTCGAGCTCCAATTTTGGAGTTTCCCCGTCGCCGTGCCGATAAGGCCGCGTCCGACCGTGGGTGTGGGCAGCTCTCCCATCGTCCCTCTCGAACCAATTCACCTGCACCACTAGCATCGCTTGGACTCCCTCTCCACCTTGCGCGCCTTAGTCGAACTGCTACCGCCTCCCCTTTGCCGCTGACGCAACCGTGCCGCCGCGGTGCGCCACCGCACGGCTTGGCCGCACGTGGCCAGCCTTCCTCTGTCATCTTCCGCCCCAATTGTCACCTCGGCCTGGTCCATGATAGCCTCCTGACGTTCACGCGCTAATCAATTAGGGCTGTAGCTACGCCAGCCCACCGAAACAGTGGCACCGCCATCGCGGATGGTCGCGCACTGCTGCAGCCTTCCCCAGCCAGTCGTGTCACCCTACACCATCGCTTAGCGTAGCCGCTCGGGTCAGAGATGGTGATCGACCCGTTAGGTAGGCCCACGCAGGTCCTAGGTGGCCGGCGTAGGCGCTCAGTGCCGCCGCTCGCCGCGCCGCCATGCACTGAGTCGCCGGGGGTGTGCTCGAGTGAATTAGGAAAAGGCCAGGGGGTTAAGTGAGAAGTTATGAGAGAGGGGGAAATAGTGTTAGTACTTAGTTGTAATTCAGGAGAAGTGCGAGGTCTATTTTGTAAAAACGTCAGCACGTGCGGGGTGTCCCCCGTCGTGGGCCGTCTCTGCGTGGGCCGCACCGCGGGCCGCCGTGCGCTCGCTCGCGCGCGCACGTTGCGTCGCGTGGGCCGTGCGGGAGAATTCGTTTTTCTTTTTCATAAGGAATTAGAAATAGTTTTCTAATTTAATTTTTGAGCTAATCTTTGGTAAATCATATAAAATTATGTAGGTGTCCAAAAATTATGAAACAAATTTTGTTAAGTTCCAAAAATTGTGCTCTATCTGTTAGTGTACTTAGTTCATGTATATACATGTTGATACCAGGAGCTATTAAATCATTTGAAAATGTTTAATATTTTTAGGAGAATTATTGTAGGAATTTTTGTAATAAATCGGTGATAGCTTTAGCCCTAAAAATTTTGTAGCAGCATCGTGGTATTATTATGTGCTCATTGTAATTTTTGTAGCTTTAGAATAGACTAAACATAAGGGTAGTTAAATGTTCTTTGTTTCAAATATATATTAAATCATTAGTATAAATAAAGATATATCCTTCATTTGTAAAGCTAGGTGTTTGTTAGTTGAACCCAACACTTTGCATGGTAAAGATGATAGTTAGCTTAGTGCCTTAGTTATTAGAGCTAGCTTAGTAGCTTAGTATGAGTATTCTTATTTTAAGAGTTGTTGTTGCATAAATGCTAAGTGTTGCATCATCATCACATGCATGTAGAGAACGAGTTGGCGGAGATCGTGACCACCAGCGATCACGAGTTCGAGAAGATCGTCGAGGAATACGAGGAGGAGATTCTCGTGCAGGAGGTCCTGAAGCCGCCACTGACTGACTCAACTGACACCGCGCCTGCCCAAGGCAAGCCCGAATGCATAACCCTTATTTTAAATAATCACTGGATATATATATATATATATATATATATGTGATGTGCATTTACGTTACAGGTTTTATATTGAAACTACATGCATAGATAAACCTACCTATGAGTCCTACTAGCATAGATCGAGTAGCTGCTATGCTTAGACTATCGATAGCGTGAATAACCTACCGTTACTCACAATAGGTGATTATTATTATTACTCTCGTGATAAAATGGTGAAAGAGAATAGAGACCGGGCAGGGATATGGTACGGGTATTGGTGGGTGTAATAGGTTGTGTCCCGCGGCTAACGGGGCATAGCTTGGTTACACTATTTTCCCTGTCCGTGTCGGTTAAGGACCGTCCGTTGCTGTGGATGGTAGTCAGGTCACAGACTTATTATCCTGAGCACATACTTGCTTATGGAAGCGGGAAGGCTCGTTGC